TAACTAACTAACTAACTAACTAACTAACTAACTAACTAACTAACTAACTAACTAACTACTAACTAACTAACTAACTAACTAACTAACTAACTAACTAACTAACTAACTAACTAACTAACTAACTAACTAACTAACTAACTAACTAACTAACTAACTAACTAACTAACTAACTAACTAACTAACTAACTAACTAACTAACTAACTAACTACTAACTAACTAACTACTAACTAACTACTAACTAACTACTACTAACTAACTAACTAACTAACTAATAACTAACTACTAACTAACTAACTACTAACTAACTAACTAACTAACTACTAACTAACTAACTAACTAACTAACTACTAACTACTAACTAACTAACTAACTAACTAACTAACTAACTAACTAACTAACTAACTAACTAACTAACTAACTAACTAACTAACTAACTAACTAACTAACTAACTAACTAACTAACTAACTAACTACTAACTAACTACTAACTAACTACGACTCTAACTAACTCTAACTAACTAACTAACTAACTACTACTATCTATCTAACGAACTACTAACTAACTAATAACTAACTAACTAACTACGAACTAACTAACTAACTAACTTACTACTAACTAACTAACTAACTACTAACTAACTACTAACTACTAACGAACTTTTTTTTTTTTTTTTTTTCATTTTAGTTATTATTTATTGAATCTTTCTTACATAGAAATTTACAATAAGTATGAAATCTTAACCTAAACTATAACTAACGTCGTTATTGCCACTGCAATTTCAACAAAAAGTTCTCGATAATTTGATTATCTGGCAAAATCCAATGTTTCCGTTCTTCTCAGTCGTCTGTGACCCTCAAATGACAGCAACTCCCTGGCAAGGGGATTTGGGTGATCCATTAGTTTCGACAGGTAGGTTAAACAAGAGAGTTTGATCTCCTCGCGTATTATGGGGACATTGAGATCCCTATGAATATTACTATTGCGAATGTACCACGGGGCACCTATTATTGACCTTAACAGTGCTGACTGCTTTCTTTGTAATTTTTCAACATTTGATGAGGAGGCTGTTCCCCACAGTTGAATGCCGTATAGCCATATCGGTTTTATAACTGTTTTGTACAAAAGCACTTTGTACTCCAAGTCTAGAGCAGACCGTGGTCCAATTAGCCAGTACAATTGAGCTGACTTTAATTTTATTTGTGTAACCTTGGCTTCAATGTGGTGAGTCCATGTTAAGCGGGCGATCAAGGTGGATACCAAGATATCTCACATGGCTTTGTTCAGGAATTTTATATTGTTTATCTGCACGGGAGGACAATTTTCCCTTCTTAAAGTAAATGTAACGTGAGTACATTTTGTAGCATTGACTTTTATTTTCCATTTGTCCAGCCATTTTTCCAATTCGCCGATGTGAAACTGGAGTTGTTCAGAAGCTATTGAAGGGTTTGCATGCATGCTTACAAAAGCGGTATCATCCGCAAATGTAGATGTGTGAGTCAGTGCGCTCGTTGGCATATCTGCAGTATATAAAATATATAGGAGCGGACCTAGAATACTCCCCTGGGGTACTCCAGCAGATATTTTTCGACGTGAAGAGATCACATCTTTAGATCTGATTTGAAAAGATCTTTCATATATGTAATTTTTAAGCAGTTTGTGAACATTCGCAGGTAGTAATGTGATAATTTTGTGTATTAGTCCATCGTGCCAGACTTTATCAAAAGCTTGAGAAATATCTATGAATAATGCAGAGCAATATTGCTTGCTCTCGAAGGCCTTTCGAATAAGAGTTGTTATTCGATGTACCTGTTCGATAGTGCTGTGCTTTCTTCTGAAACCAAACTGATGGCCAGGAATAATGCAATTATCGTTAAAGTGTACTAAAAGGCTTTCAAGCAATAACTTTTCAAAAAGTTTTGAGAATAAAGACAACAGGCTAATGGGACGGTATGATGTCACTTGAGTGACATCTTTCCCCGGTTTTGGTATCATAACAATCTCGGATACTTTCCATGAGTTAGGGAAGTATCCAATACGTAGCATCGAGTTAAAGATGAACAAAATAATTCTCAGTGCTGAATTGGGCAGGTTACTTATCATCGTGGTAGTAATTTTATCTATACCAGGTGATTTTCCTGCCTTTAGACCTTTGATTGTCATCTTCACGGTAGAGAACCGGAATTTTATTGGGTGTGGAACCACATTATTTATAATGTTAGCACTAATAGAAGAATCTGTATCATTTTGAGTAAACACATTCTCCAAGTGATTGGCGAATGCTTCAATTTTTTCTGACGTATTTCTTGCCCATTGACCATTCTGAAGGCGTATAGGTGACTCATATGCAATAGGGCACTGCATATTTTTAAACAGCTTTCCAGAGACTATATTCTGTTTTCTTAGTAGGGTCTAAGTTTTTGAGATAATTTCTCAGATTAGATTCCTTATTATCCTTTAAAAGCGATGCGAAGTCTTCTTTGGCACTGATTAAGTTTAACCTTTATGTTTGGAGATCGTGATTGTTGCCATTGACGTCTGAGTGTTCTCTTTTCTTTAATAAGAGACTCAATGTTCCTAGGACATTTCGATTTTTGAAGTCTCCCAAGGTGACTGGGGGTGTAGACACTTTGACAGCATCTTGTAAGATATCCGTAAATATATCGACAGCGAATTGTATTTCATGGTCATTCTTCAATGAAATGTTTTGTGGCAGGTGTGAGCTAACATACATTTTATACTTTAACCAGTTCGTTTTCTTGTTAGGGAAACAAGAACAATAGTTTTCCAATTTATTTGGGGTTTCTAATAACGTTAAAATTGTAGGCGAGTGGTCTGACGAGAGGTCCAATGAAGGGATCACTGAAATAAATTCTCGTTTTATATTTTTGATTACAGCAAAGTCAATTAGATCGGGAATCTTATTGAGGTCTGTAGGCCAATAGGTAGGTTGGCCACTAGATATGGCATCTAGTCTGTTGTACGATATTGCTTCTAGCAATTGTCTGCCTTTGGGAGTAATGAGGCGAGAGCCCCAAAATGTATGTTTTGCATTATAATCACCAGCTGCTATGAATCTTGGGCCAAGAGTTTTAAAGTATTCGAGAAACTGCTCTCGATTAACATTATACCTAGGAGGACAATATATTGAAGATATTGTAACTCGACTATCAGGTATATTTATAGAGGTGGCCTGGATATGGTCCTTTTTGTATTCTGGCATTGGGAAATGTCTAATATTTTTTCTCACTAAAATGGCTGTTCCACCACAGGCTCTGCCACTTGGATGTTTTGTATCGTAAGTGTAGTATCCATTAATTCTGAAACAATTCTTTAGGGTAAAGTGTGTTTCAGAGACGAGTAACTAACTAACTAACTAACTAACTACTTACTAACTAACTAACTAACTAACCATACATATGTATGTAATATGTGCTCATGTGTGTGTATTAGGGTGATTTTAACTAACTAACTAACTAACTAACTAACTAACTAACTAACTAACTAACTAACTAACTACTAACTACTAACTAACTACTAACTAACTAACTAACTAACTACTAACTAACTAACTAACTAACTAACTAACTAACTAACTAACTAACTAACTAACTAACTAACTAACTAACTAACTACTAACTAACTAACTAACTAACTACTAACTACTAACTAACTAACTAACTAACTACTACTAACTACTAACTAACTAACTAACTACTAACTAACTAACTAACTAACTAACTAACTACTAACTAACTAACTAACTAACTAACTACTAACTAACTAACTAACTAACTAACTAACTAACTAACTAACTAACTAACTAACTAACTAACTAACTAACTAACTAACTAACTAACTAACTAACTAACTAACTAACTACTAACTAACTAACTAACTAACTAACTAACTAACTAACTAACTAACTAACTAACTAAACTAACTAACTAACTAACTAACTACTAACTAACTAACTACTAACTAACTAACTAACTAACTAACTACTAACTAACTAACTAACTAACTAACTAACTAACTAACTAACTAACTAACTAACTAACTAACTAACTAACTAACTAACTAACTAACTAACTAACTAACTACTAACTAACTAACTAACTAACTAACTACTAACTAACTAACTAACTAACTAACTAACTAACTAACTAACTAACTAACTAACTAACTAACTAACTAACTAACTAACTAACTAACTAACTAACTAACTAACTAACTAACTAACTAACTAACTAACTAACTAACTACTAACTAACTAACTAACTAACTAACTAACTAACTAACTAACTAACTAACTAACTAACTACTAACTAACTAACTAACTACTAACTAACTAACTAATCTTCCAGGGAGACACTTGTATGGGGGCAATGCGAACGCATGGACCAATATTGTCCATTTCCAACATTTGTGCAAAATTCCATCTTTTTTGATGGTGGGTATAATAATACCTAATCGTAATGAAAATGTAAATCATGAGGACCCAAACCTTGTCTTATATACATAATTCTGTTCCCATAATGAATACATGTAATTATCCTGGAAAATAAGTTGAACAAATATTTATTTAGAAAGTACGAAGAGAGAAAGAAACACTGAGGCAATGTAAGATCTTGGGAAACAATCCGCTTCATTTACATATTGAAGAATACGATTAAAGAGCCTGAATTTGCAAAATTTTCTACCTGATTTCTGAGATCTCTCGGATATAACAAGCATTAGACCTATGAACAACATGAAAGAAATACATTGAGAAAGTATTGATATTTAGGTGTCCCTCACAAAATCAAAATGTTTTGATTTTTGTAAAAACAAACCGCAAGAATTTGCACAAACACGAAACACCTTCATGCACTACACAACAGGCTTGCACAAACGTAAAATATTGGTATGTTTGTCAAGCCGCTTGTGTCGTCTATTTGGCCCTTTACTATCGATTAGCTTTGAAATAAAATAATACTTGATTAAAGATGTCAATAAAAATATAATTTTTTTGTTATTTTATTTTAAAATTTTATAAAAATCTATCATAAAAATTAATCAAAATTTCCTAATCGAAAAATTTTTGGGTCAGTCTTCCTCTAAACTCCCTGGTATTACCTAAAATGATAGATAATTTTCTTGGACAAAAATACATACTAAAGAAAAGTGAAAATTTCGATGCTTACATGAAAGAATTGGGTGTTGGTTTGACCCTACGCAAGATGGGCAACACTTTAGTATCCCAATGTGAATTGCAGCGAAATGACGATAATATCTATACATTTACCCTAGAAACTCCTTATCATAGCTGCAGTATCAATTTTGAAATGAATAAAGAATTTACCGAGATAACTTTGGATAATCGTGTGGTAAAAACAATTTGTCATTTAGAAGATAATGTTTTCGTACAAAAACAGCAAGCAGAGGGCTTGAAAGCAACTAAAATTATACGAGAATACACAGACAATGAACTTACAACAACTCTTACTGTGGGTGATGTAAAGGCGGTACGAATTTATGGTATTTTAGAGGAATCAGAAGAATCTGAGGAGTCTGAGGATACTGATAGTGAATGAATACAATTAAAAATTTCAATACTAAATAATTTGGAAAACACTAAATTTAGCCGAAAAATCGAAAGGTGTATGATTAATATTGAGGACTATTTCAATACTAAATAATTTGGAAGATAGTAAATATAGCCGACAATTGGAAATACATTGCATTTCAAATAAAAAACTTGTCGTAAGTATTGCAATTTGCTACTATACAAAAATAATTTTCCTCAGAATAACAAAGTAACTATTTCTCCTTAAAATGTCCTTTTACACTCAAACACTTTTTCAACTGCAATTAAGTCTACTCATAGAAAGAGACATCCTTATGAATGTATTCAACTAAATAAAATGAAAATATGTAACAAAAAAATTCATTTGTATATAAAATACCAACACATTGAACGAAATTGCATCCTTTATGGCTTTTAAAGACTTTCCGGCGCATTGCAGTGGTGTGCCAGTCAGTTATTCGTTAAAACTATTTCTTTATAATATGTATTTAGTTTAATATAAGTGCACGGCATTTTCCAGCACACAATCACGTAAATTTTAATGTTTAAAAGCTTTTACTATATGTATTCATTGTAGTAGTAGTCCCTATTGACGCTGTCATGATGGTTTATGTCATCGCAGTTGTAATAATTTACACAGAAAATAATTATGAATATATTGTTGAAAAGCTTATATATATAAAAATGAATGTGTGTTTATTTGTTTGTGGGTTTGTTTGTTTGAAGTCTATAGACGGCTAAACGGCTGGACCAATTTTCCTGTATATCTGGAAGGAACTATAGGCTACTTTTTATTTTAAAATTTCAAGTAGGCGAGTCATATATCTTGGAAACTGGTACAATTAGAGTTCTCAAATTTTGCACGGACAACTTTGACATCCATAAGAATATTTTTTGACAAAATGGACGGAATGACTATAGTGGACGTGGCACCTTCCATATTAAGAAAATATTAAATCAGTATATCTCGGAAAGTGTAACAGTTAGAGCCCTCAAATTTGGTCGGAGCCAAATAAGTCTCAATGTGATTAGTTAGGACAAAAAGTGGGCGGACTAGCAGCAGGGGCGTGGTACCTCCTTAATTAAATACACAAATTCGTTGATCTTGGAAACTATTAGAGTTAAAAGCTTTCAATTTTGCAAGAAGAACTTTAGCATCCATGGAAATATTTTGGGTAATAAATTGGCGGACTACCAATGAGGGGAGCGGCACCTCCCATATGAATTAAATACAACAAAATATTTTATCTAAGAAACTAATAGAACTAGATTCCTAAAATTTTGCAAAAGGGACTTTCATATTCATCTGAACATTTTGGGGGAAAAAAGCGGTCTTTCATCAGGGGGTGGCTTGGAACCCCCATATGAATCATATAGAAACATTTGTATATCTGAGATACTGTAGAAGCTAGAATCTTCAAATTTTACATGAAGAACTTTGACATTTAGAGAAATATTGGCGGACTTTCAATGGGGGGATTGGTCCCTCACATATTAATTAAATTCGGAAAAATTGGCGAAGCACACTAGGTATAGCTAGTTGGAAATACAAACATAAGTATAATGCATATATGTATATATTGTACATTAGGGTGTCCCGTGGACCATTTATTGTAGGAATACCAACAACTGTAGTTAATGTCGAAGTGCTTTACGTGAACACCTGTCGTGTTTGGCCTATTTCATGGTGGTATTTTTCAACCTCTAGCTGAACTTTTGCAATGACTGTTCTGCAATGAATGTTCTGTCCCTGCAAACATTCTCATCATCTAAAGACCCACCCTCAGTGCATTCCTGGACCTCTTAAAGTCGCCCAACCACACAACTGTTGGCAACAGCGCCTAGGGGACGTAATTGGTAGTCCGAAACACGGATCTATATATAATTAGCCAGACTTATTTGAATGGCCTACCATGTGATAAGTTGAGCATGAAGGAAAATCGCCGATAAATTAAAGATTAAGGTATTACAGCTTCACAACGTCTCAACCAATTTCACCAACATTTCAACCGTAACTCCTTCTGTCATTCCGACATATCCACAGATACAACTCAAGATGCCTCTCGTCCATCAGATACAAGTATCCGAATGCATACCTTTTTACCTTTAATCCAGTCCATCAGTAGCTCTGAACACTATACTGCACATCCTACCTATAGATCTTCATATAAAGGCCACACCTATCTGAAACTCAGTGAGGCTTAACTCAACCGAAGTTAGAGATCAAGAACATATGGACATGCTAAAATCTCAACCTTACTGCCACCAATCTAGAACTAAACATCCGACTATATAACCCCACACACAGAGTTTGAAAGAGTTCCTTCAGAAAGAGTCGTGTAGGGATAACATACTGAACGAATTTACCACCGGAATCTTTACAGATGGTCCTTTTTTTTGGAAAGAAGATATACTTATCGCAGCGATAAGTATATCACAGAATATTCCCAACAACTGTAGTTAATGTCGAAGGCTAGGTAATTGGTAGTCCGAAACATATTTAATTAGCCAGACTTATTTCAGTGGCCACAAGGACCTACCGTGTGATAAGTTGAGCATGAAGGAAAATCGCTGATAAATTAAAGATTAAGGTATTACATCTCAAAACATCTCAACCAATTTCACCAAAATTTCAACCGTCAATCCTTCCGTCATTCCGACATCTTCACAGATACAACTCAGAATCCCTCTCGTCCATCAGATACAAGTATCCAAATGGTACATCTTACTCCATCACATACCTAATATTTGCATTATCAGCTCAAGTCCAACATTTTATTAATCCACACCCTTGCTCTGTGGTTTGTAGCGCTCCTAGAAACTGGAAGCTTATCCTGAAAATTTATATTTTACCGTGTATCAATCTTTGAACCAAGCACCTCCCTTCCCGCGAATTTGGGTTTAAACCACAGCCACTACGTGGATCCCGAAGGAACCTCAACCAACTGACTAGTCAGGACAAGTCCTGTAGGCAACTCGCCACCCGCAGTACCAGATTATGTGGTGCTCTGATTAGACCCCATGTAAAAACATCCAAGGTCTAGTCAGGGAGTGAAATGTCATCACCAGTTTATAGTCCCGCAGACTAGAGGTACTTGTAGCACCTCTTTACACCGGGATTGCAATACACCAAAATGAGGGTCTTGGGGGAAAAAAGCGGTCTTTCATCAGGGGGTGGCTTGGAACCCCCATATGAATCATATAGAAACATTTGTATATCTGAGATACTGTAGAAGCTAGAATCTTCAAATTTTACATGAAGAACTTTGACATTTAGAGAAATATTGGCGGACTTTCAATGGGGGGATTGGTCCCTCACATATTAATTAAATTCGGAAAAATTGGCGAAGCACACTAGGTATAGCTAGTTGGAAATACAAACATAAGTATAATGCATATATGTATATATTGTACATTAGGGTGTCCCGTGGACCATTTATTGTAGGAATACCAACAACTGTAGTTAATGTCGAAGTGCTTTACGTGAACACCTGTCGTGTTTGGCCTACTTCATGGTGGTATTTTCAACCTCTAGCTGAACTTTTGCAATGACTGTTCTGCAATGAATGTTCTGTCCCTGCAAACATTCTCATCATCTAAAGACCCACCCTCAGTGCATTCCTGGACCTCTTAAAGTCGCCCAACCACACAACTGTTGGCAACAGCGCCTAGGGGACGTAATTGGTAGTCCGAAACACGGATCTATATATAATTAGCCAGACTTATTTGAATGGCCTACCATGTGATAAGTTGAGCATGAAGGAAAATCGCCGATAAATTAAAGATTAAGGTATTACAGCTTCACAACGTCTCAACCAATTTCACCAACATTTCAACCGTAACTCCTTCTGTCATTCCGACATATCCACAGATACAACTCAAGATGCCTCTCGTCCATCAGATACAAGTATCCGAATGCATACCTTTTTACCTTTAATCCAGTCCATCAGTAGCTCTGAACACTATACTGCACATCCTACCTATAGATCTTCATATAAAGGCCACACCTATCTGAAACTCAGTGAGGCTTAACTCAACCGAAGTTAGAGATCAAGAACATATGGACATGCTAAAATCTCAACCTTACTGCCACCAATCTAGAACTAAACATCCGACTATATAACCCCACACACAGAGTTTGAAAGAGTTCCTTCAGAAAGAGTCGTGTAGGGATAACATACTGAACGAATTTACCACCGGAATCTTTACAGATGGTCCTTTTTTTTGGAAAGAAGATATACTTATCGCAGCGATAAGTATATCACAGAATATTCCCAACAACTGTAGTTAATGTCGAAGGCTAGGTAATTGGTAGTCCGAAACATATTTAATTAGCCAGACTTATTTCAGTGGCCACAAGGACCTACCGTGTGATAAGTTGAGCATGAAGGAAAATCGCTGATAAATTAAAGATTAAGGTATTACATCTCAAAACATCTCAACCAATTTCACCAAAATTTCAACCGTCAATCCTTCCGTCATTCCGACATCTTCACAGATACAACTCAGAATCCCTCTCGTCCATCAGATACAAGTATCCAAATGGTACATCTTACTCCATCACATACCTAATATTTGCATTATCAGCTCAAGTCCAACATTTTATTAATCCACACCCTTGCTCTGTGGTTTGTAGCGCTCCTAGAAACTGGGAGCTTATCCTGAAAATTTATATTTTACCGTGTATCAATCTTTGAACCAAGCACCTCCCTTCCCGCGAATTTGGGTTTAAACCACAGCCACTACGTGGATCCCGAAGGAACCTCAACCAACTGACAAGTCAGGACAAGTCCTGTAGGCAACTCGCCACCCGCAGTACCAGATTATGTGGTGCTCTGATTAGACCCCATGTAAAAACATCCAAGGTCTAGTCAGGGAGTGAAATGTCATCACCAGTTTATAGTCCCGCAGACTAGAGGTACTTGTAGCACCTCTTTACACCGGGATTGCAATACACCAAAATGAGGGTCTTTCATCAAGGAAACATGCCCCGGGAGGACCAACAACTGTAGTGTTTGTTAGGCTGAAATAGTTGAAATATCAGCTTGTTTGTTACTATATGATCTCTCGGCAAACTAGAGGTACTGGTAGCACCTCTTTACCCCGGGATTGCAATACACCAAGATGAGGGTCTTCCATCAAGAAAACATACCCCGGGAGGGCCAATAACTGTAGTGTTTATCCGACTGAAATAGTTGCGATATCAGCCTATTTGCTATAATATGATCTCAATATGAACTATTGGAATTAATGTCGATAGCTAAGCGGTATATCTTTCACTAAACACTTATACTTCCACTTCCCTCTTAGTCAGACAATGCAAGAGAGCTAAAGAGAACTAGCTCTGGATATCGCCAACGACGTTTAGTAGCAACTACGTTAGGTTCTATAAAAAGCAATATCCCCAGATTTTATTCCAGGGCTATATATATGTAGATAGAATAGGCACATGTAGAGGGGCCAAGTTATTGTGACCTTTTAATGAAAAGAACTTACAAGACACCTTATAACCCGAAATAGGCGAGATATATCGAGGATGATGTAAGTAATAACTAGACATTGAGTGGTAGTCAGCTTCAGCTCTCCTTCAATGAATAATGTCGGCAATTGTAAAGTTAGGAAAATGATAT